CACCCGAAAGTCCACCGGGCAGTGTGTCAAGTCAGTCCTCAAGCGAGAAAAAGAAGTTCGTTAATTTTTTATTGATTTTTTCTTATTGTATCCACTTCCTCTAAGCAATGCTCTGTTTTCCCATCTGTTCATCTTACACAACATTGGTTTAATCACTTCTCAAACAATCAAAGCATATGATTCGATAAGATCGCACTTTTTATCTCTTACTGATCGTCGCGCAGCAGCTTCGCGTGGGAGTGCTTGGCGGCAAGGGCAGAGAACATGCAATTCACATATGAATTAGAAATAATCTCGAACTGTTTCAAAATGCGAATGTTTACATTTTTGTTGTAGTGCTGCAAAATTATTCACTGCTGTTTTTTCAAAATCATTTACTACGACTAAAAAGGTTTTGAGTGTACGTGGTGTGATTGCACAACACCATTTAGAACTAAACCTGAGACTATTCTTATTCCACGCAATCCGTATATGTCAGTTAATATACTACTTTAAACATTAATCTCGGATGGTGTTTCTTCCGCAATGACACAAAATGAGTGGCAGCCTCTCTTCCTCTATTATCGCAATTTAATGAAAATAGGCACAGAAAAAAATGCAGAGGGAATAAAAGAAATAGAGCTAAGTAGTTTGGTGCCAGAGGCAGCCGCAGCGTGCGGCGATGATTTTGTGTCGACTGCGGACAAAACAGCATCGCAGACGTACGCAAAGAAGAGACATAGGTTATTTTGGACCTCGTGTTTTTTTCTGCAGTTACACTATACGCAGTACACAGTCTTGTAGGCTATGCTCACAACTGGATACCTAGGACTCTTTTCCGATCTTAGTTGCTTAAATTCCCTGGCGAAAGCACGCGCTTAATTTTTTAAATTAAAAAAGCATTTTTCAGCGATGACGTTTCTACGCCATCACGTGCTTTAGCGAAAAAGAAGAAGTACTTCTCTGAAAAACAGAATAATAAGAACATCTTCAAGAAATTGCTACATCCATCCTATCATGAGCGATCTGCCCAATATCGCCGCCTCTTTGGAGGAAAAATTGGTCCCGAACCGGACGAGTTCTTAGCTTGTAAGTTTTGTTTTTTAAATAACCCTTTTCAGTACAAGAGTTCACTGTCACGTCCTGCCAAATATCACCGCGTACATTGTGTAATTGCACATTGCCAATGAAATTCAGTAAAGTCGAATAATGCATTCTTCTCTTTTTGCTGCCCTTTGATTAGTACATCTGCTTATAAAGTTTATGTGCTATGCAGAAACTTCTCTGCTGCAGCTGTAAAAAGCTGAAAGTGTTAGGTTCCTCTAAACCGTTGCGATTTCTCAAGGAGCTTTGGATTACTGTATTCTTGGCGTAAACTTAATCTTCCTTTCGATTTTCTACTTTCTGCATCTCCGACCTCCACTGAATAACAGAGATGAATACAAATTTCAGCTTATTCATGTGCATATCAACGGGAAATCCTGTGTCAAGGCAGGATGTACATCTCGCAACGTCATATCTGTTTTTATGCAAATATTTTTGGATGGGAAACAAATCTCGTTGTACCCGTGTCCGATATCACGGCCATCACAAAAGAAAGAGCTGCAAAGATCTTCCCGAATTCTATACAGGTTAGGTT